GGTAGAAGCCGGTGACGCGGCAAACCAGGAGGAGCCGGGCCGGGCTGGGTGTGCGGGACAAGATGGTGGCCACGGGCGGCTCTGGGGGGTGAGGGCAAAGGGGTGAGGAGCCCTGATGAGGCACCACTTGGCCCCAGTGTGTGGGGGCCTTGAGGTGGCCGTGCCAGGGTCAGGGAGGTCTCACCTTGTCTCTCCAGAGCTGCCTTCCCGTACTTGCAGAGGGTGAGGATGTGGCTCTGGCAGGAGATGGAGAGGAGGTGCTCCAGGACCCCTGTGATGGGCTTCTGGCTGTTGAGGGACTGGCTGACCAGCTCCGCTACTAGGGATGGCTGGGAGGGCTTCCAGCGCCGTCTCTCCACCTCGAAATCTGTGAGGTCTCTGCCGTCCTCTCCAACATACATGAAGCCCCAGCTCGTCCTGTTAGGGTGCAGTGCACAGCCTGCCCGGATCTGGACCACCAACGGGTCTGCCAAGGGCCAAACCAGTGGAGAGGTCCCATGAGTGTGTGGGACGTGGATGGCACGGGGCAGGATGTGGCTGGAAGCATGTGCAGGGGTGCAATGGGTGATGGGGCATGGGGCCATGCTTCAGGAAGCCCTGGGACACCCTGCAATCCCTCGGTCTCCTTGGAAGGCCAGTGTGGAGCTGTGGCCAGTTAGCACGGGTGGTTACTCGAACAGAATGTTGTCCCCCAAAATATTTGCCCCAGTTTTCTTTTTCTCTTGTTTGTCCTGTGTGGATCCTGCAGCCATGGCAAATTTGGCAGCAGTCCCCCCATGTACCAAGAGGTTCCCTGGTGCCAGATGGCAGGAGGGAAAACACCAGAGGGCAGTTTTTGGTGCATTGCCCTCCCCTCCCCTCCTCTCCTGTGCCCCGTGGGCTGCAGCGTTTCCCGTGACCCTTCCAGGGGCTGTGGCACCCTGGGAGACCCTGCAAATCCCCCCCGAGTGGGGAGAGGACACAGCTGTGGCCAGGAAAGGGGCTGGGGCTCTGCCCCACACTCACAGTCCAGCTGCGCCTTGTGCCCCATTTCGTGCACGTATCGGATCATGTTGCGCAGAGAGATTTTGTACTGGGACATGATCTTCCCTGCGTCACCCTCATCCATGGCCTGCTGGGCCCAGGGCCAGTGGAAATGGATGGTCCAGTTGTCAGGATCCAGTGCAAAGGTGGGCACGTCCCCCAGGAGACCCACTCCGAACAACTCCGCGTAGCTGATGTTGGCAATGAGGCTTGTCTGGAGCAGCTGAAAAACCTGTGGCTCTGCTGGGAAAGGGGCTGGGGCGGGGGGGGCTGCAGGGGAGAGGAGATGAGTGGGGAGCGTCCGGAGGGGAAACGGGGGTTTCAGACTAGACAGAAGGGTGACGTTTTTTCCACTGAGGGTGGTGATCTCCTGTCCCGGGCTGCCCAGAGAGGTGGTCAATGCCCATCCCTGGAACCATCCCAGGTGAGGTTGGCTGGGGCTCTGAGGAACCTGCTCTCGTTGCAGACTTACCTGCTCACTGCAGGGGGTTGGACTAGATGACCTTGAAAGGTCCTTTCCACCCAAACCAGTCTGGATTCTATGCTCAGCATTGCTTTCCTTTCTGCACTTCCTCTGCCTCCACTGCTCTTTTTGCTTCTCTATTTTACCTTCCATGAGATGTTTCTCTCCCATAGAAGATTTTGGGCACCTTTTCCCCCTTCCTTGCCACCTCCCTCCTGCCCAGCACCTGCTCTCTGACTCTGTGGAATGGATGGGAAGACACCTCTGTGCTCATTTGGGGTGTTGCTTCTCCCAGGAGAAGCACCCGTGGCAGGACCTGTAACAGCCAGAGACCTGCACGGGATGTGGAGGACTGGGGAGAGGAAAGGGCACCTTGTCCACATTTGGGGGCTCCTGAGTGTGAGGAGCTCGATGAGACCAAACCCTGACAGGGACAAGAGAGCAGCCCAGCCCAGAGCTCAACCCCGCGTTCCCACGTCTGCCGCTGCCCTGCACCTCTGGAGACGTGAGGCCTCACGGGGCTGTGGTGAAACGCTCTGCGTGCGTGTTGGCAGCACCCAAAACACCCTCTCACAGGTGCAGCTCCCCAGCTGAGCTCTGCAGGAAGGGGCCCACGGCCCCACGTGAGGCTGAGACCTCCTCTGGCACCCACAGGCTCCCTGCAGGAGGAAGGGACCTTTGGAGGAGCCCCAAGACCCCAGGTCTCTCTTCTGCTCGGGTGCTGGAGCTGTGGGGCATGGCACACAGAGTCGGAGGCAGGAGCCGAGGGGTGGGCAGGCGCAGGGCACTGCTGGGTGATGCACAGGGGGGTGGCCCTTGGGTGCTGGGGACCATCCCACCCATGTGTGGGACAGCAGCCTGGCCGTGCCTCCCCTGAGGAACATGCCTGGTCCTCTGCCAGGGGCTGAGAGCAGTTGGGGTGAGCCAGGGCTCCCACTTACCTCCTGGGTCTGCCCACATGCCAGGGAGGAGGAGCGGGACGAGGAGGAGGAAGAGGAGGAGGTGAGGGGGCTGCATGGTGCACGCCGTGGAGCCAAAGCAGTGGCTGGGGGAGGAGGAAGAGCCCGGGGAGTCCCCCACACTTGGAGCCAGCCCAGCAGTCACGGTGGCCAATGGGACCAGTGCGGATGTGCTGAGAAGGGGCCCACAAGTCCCCAGCCGGGGACTGGGGACGTGTGGGAGGGAGGAAAGCTGCAATAGCTTCTTGAGCATGAAGTGCTGCGACAGGCTGGGGCTGTGGAGAGCCCATCCAGGAGGAGAGGGCAGAGAAGGGGAGGCTCAGGAGATGACACTAGGAGAAAACAGGTGTTCAAGGACCTGAGCTGGGTCCTCCTGATGCCCCCTCCCCACCGGTGGTACCTCTTCCCATCCCCGTTCTTGTGGGGTGCATCAGCTCTTTTACAGTAGATGACTGCTTGTGTGCTTAAACCCTGACTGGAGAAAGACAGGCACCATCCTCTCAGCCCCTGCACAGGGTAAAGGGCTCCTCTGGATCCCCCCAGCACCTCCAGCTCAGGCTCCTCCTGCGCTGCCTGACCAGCCCTGGGGACAGGGTTCTTCCAGAAGGAGGTGATGAGCAATACTGATCCATCCTGTGGCTGCAGGAACAGTGCTGGGGAGCTTCAACTCTCCCATAAAGCCACCAGCAGAGGACATGGGGCTGGGCTGCAGCCTGGCACTCCCTTTTCCTTCCCATCAGCCTTGGCAGTGACACCAGACCGACTACAGACCCATGTTCAAGTGTGTGGCTGACTCGGAGCATGAGCTCAGTTCCTTCCCGTGCCCATTGTCTGAACCCCACCATCGCCGGTGGGAGCTTGGCTTCCTTCTCCTTATCTGACAGGCCTGGGGACATTTACGCCCTGTGCACAGTTGCTCATTTGCATGAGATATGTAAGAACGTGTTTGTGTACGAACAAAACCACTTCTACTGTTTCTTTTCTTGCTTTGGTGTTTCCTGCAACTCCCACCAACCATTCAGTGGTGCTCCAGCTTCCAGCTGCAGCTGGTGTAAACCTCCCCGAGCCCACCCAAATCCTGAGGAAAGACACGTGTTCTTAACCAAAACACAACAGCTTTGCTTTTATTCCACCCCGCTCTGCAGGTCCCAGGGGTGACACCCGAGCTGCAGCACTTGGTTACTCAGCACTTGTGGAACCTTTTGTGGCCAGGTGCTGTCAGTCTGTGTGCAACAGCTCAGCCTCGGCACGGAGGTCTCTGGAACGTGGTTAATAAAGGCAGGTTTTAGGAGAAGGTGCTAGAAGGTGCGAGCAGAAGGGCACCGTTGCCACCTGCTGATAAATGTGTTACGGTACGAGGAGTGGGAGAAATTTCTGCTGGGCACTGGGGTGCCCTAAAGAGCCTCAGCGGGTGCCCGGGGCAGAGCCATGGGGTGAGAGGGGATCGTGTGTGATGAGTGAGGGTGTCTCACATGTGCATCTTGTCTGCTCAGCAAACTGAAGCGGGTCAGGAGCCCCCCAGGTTTGCTCCCCACATCTCTGAGTTGAATCCATCTTGCACTCAGCAGTGCTCAGACCTCTGTTGGAGCAGACAAGGGACGAGTCTTTGTCCCTGCGAGGCTGGTGGGAGGAAGTGGGGGCTGGTGGCGCCTTCTGGGCTAAGCTTCTTTGCTCAGGATGGAGCTCCTGGACTCTGGTTCCTCCAACTGCTGGTGCTTTCTGGAATGAGAGGGGGACAGCTCATGGGTGCTGCATGGGAGAGACCTTGTTGGGGTGCAGACAGCAGCTGGCGGGGCCAGAGCAGGAGGTTTGCTCCTAAGTGCAGCAGTGCCCTGGGGCATTTCCTCCCCTCCCTTCCTCTCCCTCTGCTGCTCTGGGGCGCCGAGCGTGCAGTGGTGGGTGCAGTAGCAGGAGGAAAGGGCTGTGGGAGAGGTGGCCACACGCTTCTCCTTGTGATGGCTCTGCCCGGGCATCTCCAGTGCTGCTGGTGGCCCTGGGAGCCAATGGGGCTGGCGCTGAGGTTTCTGGGAGGGCCCTGAGGTTCCTACTTGGGGTAGGTTGGTCTGGAGTGTCCTGAGGTCAGCTGAGTGCTGGGGGAATTTGGGTAGGAGTGAGGCCACCCACTGACTGCAGAAGAGGTCGCTCGTGGCTGCGGCAGCACCATGACAATCATGATGACATTCAGGGTGATGAGGATGACCCAGCCCCTCTTTTCTACCCCCGTTACATGTGGAGGTGCCACCCGGCCATGGGCTGCACCCCACTGTCCCTGACAGTAATGTCCCTTGCTGCCTCTCACACTCAGCATGTCTGCTCCCTTGTAGCATAGTCCTCTCCATCTGCTCTGCGCTGCCTACCTGGCCACATGGGTTTACCTAACTGCAGGGGAGATGAATCCTGTTCCCACAGCCTGGCCGCATGCCTGGGCTCCCCATGCCACCAGGCTGTGTGCTGTCCCCACACATCTCTGTCACCTCCCAGCCCTCCTGCAGCCAGGTCATACAGATGGGCTGTGGGTAGAAGCTGGTGGAAATCGAGGAGAAGCAGAGCTGGGCCGGGCTTGCAGACAAAGTTGGGACAGGGATGGGACCATTGTCTCCACACCCCAGGGCCATTTCTGGAGCCTGTGGTGGATGAGCAGCCTCCTCATTTCCATGGAGTTCAATCCATGCCATGGGGGTGGTTGCTGCCTCTCTTCTCCACTGCACCCCACAGTGCTGGGGAGCTCCAGTTGTCCCATAAAAGCCCCCAAGAGAGGACCTGTGGCTGGGCTGCAGCCTGGCATCCCTTTTCCTTCCCACCAGCAAACCCCATCCCCCTCCCTGCATGTGCTCCCTGGGCACAGGATCAGGAATGGTGGAGGTCATCTCCCTGCTCTGTGCCCATTGTCACCAGCATCCAGTGCTGGAGGGACAATGGGGTGACCAGAGCCGGCCTGACCCCCACCATGTCCGCTGCCCATGCTCCTCCCTGGCTGTCCCCTGTCCCCTGTCCCCTCCCCCTGCAGTTTCTCTTCCCCTTTCTGGGGGTGCTGGTGTTGGGGGTGAAGGCAGAACCGAAACCACAGCCGAGGTGTTCCTGCCCGATGTCTCCAGCTCGGGTGTCCCCAGCTCTGCCGGGGACACGGGGAAGGCCCGACTGGGGCTGCTGCAGGCCGAGCTCCAGCATCCCATGACACTTGAGTCAGACACAGGGAGACAAGGACACGGAACCTCTTCCCTTCCGAGGAGCCGTCCCGTGGAGAAGTGGGGATGCTGTGGTGGCCTGGTGGGCCCGGAAGTGGCACCGACTTCCCCAGCAGCTCACCGTGGCATCACCCAGGGGATGCCCAGCCCTGCCAAGACAACGGTGACGTCCCTCCCGGCAGGGCCACCGGTGCCGGGGCCAGAGGAGAGCGTCTGATGGGTGGGATGGCAACGTGCAGCCATGGGACACCAGTGAGGGAAGGGCCAGGGGGGCTTCTGTCCACACATCCCTGTGAGGTGACCATTTGTCCTCATGGTCCCCCCCGAGGTGACTGCTGGTCACTCCGTGCTGAGCAGCTGATGGGCCATCAGCCTGTGCAGGTGCCCGTGAGGTCGGTGGTGCTGGGCAGCTGCCAGGACAGGAGCAGGCACCTGGCTGGGCAGGTCCAGGTGATGTCAGTGATTCCTCTCCTTCCAGTTCCCAGTCACCACTCTCCTATCATCACCACAGGCTGCAGTTGCAGTCGTTCATGTGGTTACAGCAGTGGGAGTTTGCCCTCAGTGTACAGCCATTTCTTTCCACCTTTCGGTCCTTAAGCCTTTTTTCTGCTGCTTCTCCCTTCTTTTCTTTGCTTCAGAATATATTCTCTATTGTCCATGGTCCCTTTGTGGAAGTGGCTTTTCAGGCGTGTTCTTACTCCTAGGCCACAGTCCCTTTGGAGTGTACCTTCCATGGAGCATCTTCTGCTGCTCTGACCTCTGACCTTGCTCTTGGCCCTTTTTCTGGGTGTTCATTTCTCTTTCCTAAATACTTTTTCACAGAAGTGCCACAGACTCCTCTTGTTCAAAGGAGGTGATCTCACTGGAATGAGGCATCATCAACACAGGGCACTTCATGATCTTCTTCCTCAGTGGTCACCTTGGTAGCCCTCCTCCTCCTCCTCCTCCCACAGTCAAAGCCTTGTCAGTTGTGCCCACTACAATCCCCAGATGTAGGACCTGGAATGCAGAAGGGAAAGGTTGTCTGAAAATGAACAGACTGGTTCAGAAGGAAGGGATGATACTGTTGGCTGATATTTAAAATCAAGGTAACAAAGCAAACCCTTGTTTTGGAGTTAGATATCTGGAGCATTTTTGCTTGAAGATTTGTTTATTAGAGAAAATCTGGGGATCAGTGTTGTTAGAGCATTGCAGAGTTGTCCATCTCCCTCCCTATGTGACCAGCTCAGAACCTCTCCAGGGTCTCCAAGGTGCGTTTTGTCCATAGAACTTAGCATCCTTGTTCTCCAGCTCTCCTGCAGCTGTGTGCTTTGCTGCATTTCCTTAACTGCCTTTTATGTATTTTAAGCTACATCTAAAGTTTGTTTCTTGTATCTGCTACTGACTTTTCAGTCAGTTTTGATTCCAGTAGCACAGTTGGTTTGGAGACCGACAGCTTGCGAGCTGGGACAAAATGTTGAGAATCTATAAGGAGATCATCTGAAAGCTTATGTCAAGTTATCTTATGTCTCGTACCGATTTTGAACTTGGCCTCTAATCTGTTTTTCAGTCTGACTTTTGCTTTGCTGACTTGGGTAAGGAAATCTGCAAACACCAGAAGGTCTGAAGCTCCATTCACGCTCCCAGGCAGCACTGCTGTTGGAGGGAGAGGTTTTGTGTTGGTGGAGGTGTTTGCATGGCTGCAGATCAACACAGGCTGGGGAACTGACGGGGGTTAAAACCAGCTGGGCTTTGGTTTTGGGTTGGTTTTAAGGCATTTAGCTTTAACCAGGTCCCTGATGTGCTGGAGCACACTTTCGTGCTGGTACAAGCAAGAGAGATGATAAGATTTCTTCTGTTGACAGTGTTGGTTCAAAGGATACAAGTACTTGGG